ATTTGTGGTTCAGGTTCAGGTTCAGTTCAGGTTCATTGAACCTAAATTTGAACTGAACTGAACCTAGGAACCCTAGTGGTAGTAGTGTGGATACTGCTGGTGCTAAATATAATTCTTCAATACTTGGTATAGTTGTGGATCTATTTTTTTTTTTGAAATTTGGTAGTGTTTGTTGTTTGTTTCTTTTTGATTTTGCCAGGATACCGACGATCTGGGCTGGATTGAGCTTAACGTTGGGTTTTCACGCTTGAAGTTTGTTGAGTAATTTCCCTTGAATCTTGGTAGGTAAAACTTCGAATTCTTTGTATTTAAAAGTTCAATCTATGGATCCAAAACCTCTTAGTAGTAATTATGGGTTCTTTAACGTTTTAATTTGTATGTTTCTTTTGATTTTCGCTCTGATTAGATTTAGTAATTCCTATTGTTTCTTATTCTCGTTTTCCTTAAGCATTTTCTTTTTTTTTTTTTTTTTTTTGAAAAACTGATAGTAATAGCTTTTCTGGTATCAATAATCCAATACACGCCACTCTGGTTATATCGACATTTTTGAGACATTAGTAAAAAAATTCAAAATGTCGGTACAGTGAGTTATACCGACATTTTAATTAAATTTTTGAAAAAAAATGTGGGTATAGAAAGATTTTACTATGATGTCGTTATATCCAGATGTCGGTATAACCAGAGTGACGTGTACTTTTTTTAAGTATTTTTCCTAGAGGTTTCTCAGCTGTCGGTAATTTTGCTGTGCTAGATAGTTAAACTTTTCAAGTCTTTTTCTAAAGCAGTTTTGCCGCATTGTTTTAATTTCTCGTGTTTTTCAATTTTTAGTATTGAGTAATTTCGTCAATGTTCAGTCTTGTCAACTCCAATTCCATTTTGATGGCAATATCCATCGTTATTGTGAATATGCCAATCAGTATGTTTGGATTCTTTCACGTTGGAAGGTTCTTTGGCCTTGAGCTTTGTTTAATCAGTGATGATACCCTGTTTTCGATATCTATTTTCAGGCTTCAATGTTCAAAGATAAATAGGTAGTAAGTATATATATTTTTTCTTGAATAATTTTCCCAGTGTATACGAAATTTCTTTTGTGAGAGGCTAACTTCATTGTACGGCTATCCTCTTGGTCTGGGGTGGGATTTCGGTAAATAGATTATGGTTTTTCTTTGAATAGGACCCCACAACTCACCCTATCCCATTCTGACCAACCTTTCTCTAATGTCAGGTATGTTTATAAAGGGGAAAGGAAAGTCTAAGACATAGAAAGTAAAATAAAAAATAATAATAAAAAATAAAAAGAAATTTTAGCGGTCCTACAGGTCCATGGTCTGTGGAACTTAATATAATACTGAATGATTCCAACATATTCAACAAATATTAATACTATCAAAGGGAAGAAAAGTCTTAGAGTTTTTTTTTTTTTTTTTATATATATATATATTTTATAGTTCTATTTTTCTTATTAGTCAAAAGTTCTGCCCCAACGATATTCCATGTGGATTAATTAATTCTTTGCAGTGTGAGTATTATTTTTCACAAGGAATTATAGTACTCCCAATCAATATATTCATCCATTGATTGGGACTATTTATCCTCTTCGATGTCCATATCTGAGAAGTCCGAAACATGTCATTTTGGTTAGATTCATTTCAATTTTCATTGAAGTGAGGATAGGAGTCGTAATTTTCGGAGGTAAAGATGTTTTCTTCGAACTCCAGTTCATCAGCAGCTTCACCCCAACGGGGTATATCGATTAGGTATGCTTCATCGATATTCATTGGTTATAACTCATTTTTAGAGTTATTAGTACTTAACAAACTATCCTGGTATTTATTATCTTCTGCCCAGGTTATTTCGATTCTTGCCTCCATGACTAGTTCAATTAGGAGGTTTTGAAAATTAATTTCTTGCGCCATTACACTAGTGGTAAGTTCTTTGTCCTATTCATACTCTTGTTCTGTATTCTTATCAGTGTTTTCAGTGTTTTCTTTATCATATTCTCATTCACTTTCTTTCGTACTAAGGTCCCAAGGAATGGTGTCTACTTCCTCATTAGAGTCATCGATGAAATATTCTTGGGCAATTGCCCTGAATATTTCAATTTCTTCTACTACTTTGGCTTCTTGTATTTCAGAGGTTTCTTTGGCAGGTTTGTTAAAGCTTTCAATATTTCTCATACTTGCCACTTTTGATAGTGACTAGCTATTTCACAGTTATTTCTTTTCTTTATAGGTGGCTCTTTAACTATACGAGATAAAGTGTCTGCATTTCTATGGATTCTTCCTGCCCTGTGTATGATAGTAAAATTATAGGGTTGTAGACATAGAATCCAGTGAGCTTTTCGTCCTTTCAACGCCAAATTTTGGAGCCATTTCAAGGCTGAATGATCTGTGACAATAATGAAGGGTTTGTACTCCAAATAATGATAAAAGTATTCTACCGCCCAGACCACAGCATAACATTCCAATTCTGTAGCTATGTAGTTTCTTTCAGGATGGGTAAGGCTTAGGCAATGGCGTATTCTTTTTTGTTCTTATCTTTTTGTGCAAGTACTGTACCTAGACCTACACCAGACATGTTAGTATGTAAATAAAATGGTTTCTCGAAGTCCGGATATCTTAGGACTGGGGTGGTAGTTAGGTGGGTTTTTAGATCTTGGAAGGCTTTTTCTTGTTTCTGGCCCCAATTATATGGTGTGTCTTTTTCTAGTAGCTTGTGTAGCGGTTTTGCTACCATAGCGAAGTTTTTTATAAATCGTCGATAATAAGAGGCTAGGCCTATAAAGCCTCTTAATTGCCTCAGGTTAGTTGGTGTGAAGAAATCTTTGATCTTAGTTACTTTTGATTCGTCAGGCCTAATGCCTTCTTTTCTTATGGTATGGCCTAGAAAATTAATGTTATTTCTTAATAATTTGCAATTTTTAGAGTTAAGTTTTAATCCTGCCTTGGCTAGTTTTGTTAGAACATCTTTGAGGTGGGTCAAATGTTCTTTGAATGTTTTTGAGTATATTATTATGTCATCTAAAAATACTGCAATATTCTTTTCAATATTTTCATAGAGGAGGTAGTTTATTGCCCTCTGAAATATCACCAGGCATTACACAGGCCGAAGGGCATCACTGTGAATGTGTAAGTGCCTTGTTTGGTAACAAAGTCTATTTTTTCCTAGTCCTTTCTGTTCATACCAATTTGCCAGTATCTACTGGCTAGGTCCAGAGAGCTAAACTATTCTGCTTTTTTAAAAGTTTCTAGCAGATTGTCGATTCAAGGTAATGGGTACACATCTTTCTTCGTAACAGTGTTTAGTTTTCAATAATCAATGCACAAACGGTGTTTGCCCTTTTTTTTGGGTATAATGATGACAGGTGAAGTCCAGGGACTCTTTACCTAATATATTAATTCATTGTTTAATAGTTTCTCTATTTCTTTATTTAAAAAGTCTTGTTCGTCCGAGGTGATCCTATAGGCCAATTGCTTGATTGGTCAAGACTCACCAGTGTCTATTTTATACTCTACTTCGTTGTACTGGCCCGATTAATGCAATCTGGAGGCGAAAAGTTCTTGGAATTCTTCCAACATATAAGTTGCTTCTTTTTTTTGTTTTTTAGTTAGAGCTTTTATTGGTACTAATTGTTTAATAATTTCTCTAGGGTTTTGTTCATTTGACTTCTCTTCTTCCAAGGTTGGGAGCTTCTCTATGGCCATTAGGTATATTGCGGGGCTATTTTCTTCCAAATACTTAATGTTTGTCTCTTCTTCTACTATGGAATCATCTTTATAATAACTTTCTGCTTCTTCTAGAGCTTGTTCTTCCTCATACTGGTTGAAGAAATTATTTTCGTCATTTTCGTAGCTTTGAGGTGGCTTCAGTTTTTTTTCTTTAGCCTGGTATACAGGTACTTCTATATATTTACCTAGGTACCTCAAGATTAGCTTTTTTTCATCAAAATAGAGACGAGCTTGGACTTTCTAGAATCAATCCATTCCGAGAAGCATCATCTCTTCGGGGGGTTTCATTCATCTGAAAGTCAGTAAGTATTGTATGACTAGTCTTATTCCTACTAACTTTTTTAAGGCTCTTTCTCTAGTTCTGTTGGTGGTGATTATGACAGTATTAGAAGGCTCAGCTATAGTAAGTTTCAATTTTTTGGCTAATTTCATTGACATTATACTGACTGCAGCCCCAGAATCTAGTATAGCCAGTATAGGGTTGTTTTGAATTTGGATGTAACATTTCACCACGGTTGTTCTTAGGTTAGTTTGATTATCCACGAAGTTAGTGACTTCTATCAGGGTAACTATGGGGTGCCTTAAGGCTTGTGATAAGTTTTGCCTTTGTTTGGATACTTGCAGTAATTAACTATAAGTAGCATTGGCCCTTTGGTTTAGTAGATCATTAGCTATATTGTATAGCAGCAGTAAGTCAACTATAGAAGATGCTCTTTTGTGCCTATTTCAATTATTTGTTTCAGGTGGCGGTTGGGTTGGTATTTGGGTTACTTCTTCCATGGGAGTGGGTTGAGTTGGTAGTGTGGGAAGATTTTGGTCAGTTACGACCCTTTTCTGAAGCTTTTCATCCCAATTCACTTCGGTTTCAGGTCTTCGCTTTATAGCATAGGCTTCTTCAGGTTCAATGTTATATAAATTGATATTTCTTGGGCGTACCCGGTTTCTAATTGGGCTTATATGGGTTCTTCTGGCATTCTGTCTTTCAGAAAGGCAATTTCGGGCGATATGGCCTCTTTTACCACAGTTATAGTACCCAATTCCACTATTTCTGGATTGTTGGAGTGGGTAAGGTCTGTTTATAGATAAGTGTGGGCTTTGTTCAGTTTGGGCGGCAAGTGCAGTAGCTAATTTTTTATAATTTGTTGCCATCTGCTGCATTTTAGTTGTTAAGTCTTCGATGACTTGATTGCTGGGTTCTTTACTCTTTTTCTTTTCATAGTAGCCTCCAATTTCTATTCTTCAGGCTTTAGAGATTACTTCATATAGGGTCTCAGGGTCGTCAGATGACATTAATGTGGCAATCTTTCCTCGGAGGCCTCCTAGAAACATTCTTATGACATACGCAGCAGGAATTTCTTTATCAGGGATAACTCTTTTGAGTAGCCTTTAGAATTGGTAAGCATAACAGTCTACTTTTTCTGTTTCTTTTTGTTTTAACAAGTATAGCTCTAGTTGCTACTGATGCTTTCACTCTGGAATTGCGAAGTACTTGATGAATGATGGTACAAAGCTAAGTTTCTTATTTTCTTCACCATCTTCGTCCCAAAGAATGAGGCCTTCCTTATTATCGTGATACCAGCTGGCTGCAATTCTAGATAAATGGTCCGAAGCAATTTTTAATTTTCTTAACGGGTCCAATTATTCACATCAGCTGCTCTTTCGAATGCTTCGATCTACTCTACAGAGTCTTCTTCTTCTTCGCCCTTGAAGGTCTTTATGTGGACCCAGTTATTTTCACGTGGATTCGGCTAGACATCATACATTGCAACATCTCGAAGGCTTTAGCAATTTCTTTTAGAAGTCAGTGAGTTTAGGCTGGTTGTGCAGGGGCTTGTTTATCTTTATAATCAATGGGTCTATTGTCAATGATTAGATAGTCTTCGATAGCTTCATTCTCAAAGTGGTCCAAATCTGACATACTGTAAATATCTGTTTACTTTCTTTTTTTAAGGACTTATAATATGGTTAAGGGTACAAAAGATAGATTATGATGGTAAGAAAAATGTTCCTTTCTTGTATGTGGTTAGAGATGTTCGAATCTCACAGTCACCACCAATTGAAAACGTGTGACTTAATTGTTAAAAGCTAAAACTATGATAATAATGAATAAACTGTGCTAATAAATAAACTATAATATTAAAACTATCTAAACTACAATCTAAAACCCTAAATGCTTCGGTTTGGAAGGCAGAAAGTCAGCGTGGAGAAACTTGGTCTGAGTCTTGAAGCTTTTCGGGTCTTGCTATGGGTTCTTTGGCGGTTCAGATAAGTATAAGCCCAAATTATACTTCTAATGTTGGTTAATAAACTTGGACCGGAGATTATTATAGTCCTTCTTGTTAAACTTAGGTTTTGGTAAATTGAAGCTTCAATACGATCGTTAAGATTCTTAATGATCATCACGTGTATCATGTGTAATAACTGCGGCTGTTTAATGTGATCTGAGATCCTTTACGTCACAAGCAAGGATATTGGTAGATTGGAGGCTTAATTCGGATTAACGTCATGAGTAGATATTAGCTGAGGTCGGAAGTTGGATCTTCAATTGATCGATGAGGTCACGAGCACCTGATGTCACGGGAAATTCAGCTGATCGATGCAATTAATATGCAAGAATACTTTGTTCACTAATTCGATTGTTATACTAATTAGTGATAACAATGCGTCACGGTTAAGGTTAAGTATTTATAAGAGGGTTTTATCTTTATTGAATTCTTATTATTTTTCTAACGAGTTGAACGACTTGGGTCAAGGTTTTCTATATGGAACACAGAGTCGACCCTTTTATTCTAATTTCAAAGATCAAGACTCTAATTGGACTATATGACGTAACAATCGGGTTTTCTCAATATTAATGGGACAGCGAAGAGGTTATTTGGATAATTTATTTAGGAGCGAAAGGGAAAAAGATAAGTACTTCTACTGTTATAATTTCGAAGTATAACTTATCTACTCCTTTATTAAGAAAGAAAAGCTCTCCTTATATAATTATTTTTACATATAGTGGAATTCTTCGAATCTATACTATTCTAACTATTTTCTTTATAACGAGAATAATTATTATTCTTGCTATCTTTAGGATTCCTACAATCTAGAGAATTCCCAGAATTCCTATAATTCGTACCACCTACGACTACTAAAATAGAAATATCAAGGGCAACAAAACAATAATGGGACTACTAAGGTCAATCTGCCCCTCACACCGTACACACAATGATGTGAGATTTTTAGGTAAATTGAATATTTTAAATTTCATAATGTTAATTTTTAATGATATTAACCATTATACTTTAATTCAGTTTTGGGATGCTTATGTGGGAGCTAGCTTGTGAAAAAGCTCCTTATGAAAAAATGGATATTATTCACATTATTAGTCTAAAAAAATAAACACACAAAAAAGAAATTTTCTCTTAACGTATTCATTTTTCCATATATTGTATTATCATAGT